AAAGCACCCACCCCCTATAAAAAAAACCTCCCAAAAAAAAAAAAAAAAAAGAAAGAAAGAAATTGGGTTGAGTTTCCAATCAAGTGACACATGTTACGATCGCCTGGATCATGGTCGCTACCTGCCGAGCCACCAGTGGAGACTCAAGCTAGCCTGCGTGTCACCATGGTCTGCTGAAGTCTTTCCCAGTGGGTGTGTAGGGGTGGGGATGACTGAGGAAGACATCATGGGAGTCAGAAGAGCCTCACTGATTTCGGGACCATTCCGGGGAGATGTTGGCAGACCGGGACATGGGGCAGCTCTTGCCATTCACACTGGTCCATTGGTCTTTCTGGAGCTTATCGAGAACTGCCCCCCTTGTCTGCCAACAACACCCACACGCCACCAGAGCGGGCCTGTCAAGGCTGACATGGGAGCGTATGCGCTTTCTCAGAACCCAGTACGCATCATTGCTGAATCAGAGATCAGTATGTTCAGAGTAAGGAACCGAGAGGGCAGCCTTTCAGGGCCTGAAATTCAGAAGTGCTAATTAAACCGTAGCCCAGGACCGCTGCACAACTCCGGAACTCAGCGGTGCAGCCTGTTCTTCGGGGGCATCATGATTGCTTTTTGTCTCTCTGCCACTCCTGACAAATGACAGCTCTCCTGGGCTGCTGAATCGTGCCACATTCTTATCTGAGGGGCTTTGGCTTATGGGCACAGCTTATGTGCACAGTGGCAGGTACCCTCGTTCGTGCCAGCAGACACAGAAGGACCACTTATCTCTAGAATGAAGCTCAAGTACCGAGCCTGAATTACAAGCAGCACAGTGCACGACCAAGGGCAGAGTTCTGAGCAGCATGAGCGCTGGACACACCAGGTTGCTTCCCAGACAGTTTCCAAGCAACGACACCTGAGCCAATGTCATGTGTGCCATGTAACGTGGGACCCCGGCTGTCTTTAGCGATCACCTGTGGCTTTGTCACTCTGCTGGTAGTCACATCAAGGAAAAGCATCCCTAATAGCAGTGGGGTAACCAGGACTCCCTGAGTCTGTTTAACAGACGGCCGTGTGGTGCTGAAGGCAGCCGGATCCCACAGGGCTGACCGTGCGGTTTCAGTCCAGGGCCTGGAGCCTGAAAAACATGCTGGGCATGTGTGTATGTGTGCACCAAATCCTGAGGAGAATGGAGGAGAAGGGATTGCAGCATGACCTCCCCCTGGGAGATAATTTCTCACTGTCTCTTTCTCTCCCTCTCTCTCTCTCTGGCAAGCGAAGGCGCCCTATAGAAACTTAAAAAAAAGTTTGCCTGTCTGCCTTCTCTTGCCCATACCCTCACCACCTAACCATAACTACATTTTGATGTGGGCGGCTCCCCACAGAAACTTAAAAAAAAGTTTGTCTGTCTGCCTTCTCTTGCCCATACCCTCACCACCTAGACATTACTCTGTGTGCGTGCGTGCGTGTGTGTGTGTGAAGTTGTGAATAAACTGGCTCCAGTGTGGGTTTGAGGAGTCTGTGGGGCTTAAGCATGTGCATCCTGGCTCTGTGTACAGCACGCACACTGGTGTGTAGGTGTGCGTTTATCAGTAGGAGCTGTGTTTCTCCATGCACCCGAGGGTTACATGTGTTTGCAATGTATTTCACATACCACAAAATGCCATTTTAAAGTGTTCAGTGGTTTTTAGTATGTTCGCAAGGTTGTGCAACCACCACCACTGTCTACTTCCAGAACATTCTCATAACCCCAGAAAGAAACCCTGTGCTTGTCAGCAGCCACTCCTCATCTCCCCCCCGCTCTCCCTCGCCCTGGCAACCACTACCCTATACTTTTTATCTCTTACGAATTTAGTTATCTGGACAGCTCATACAAATGGAGTCGTAGGATCTGGGTGGCCTTTGCCTCTGGCTTCTTTGACTCGGCATGTTCTCAGTATTCATCTGGATGGTAGCGCATACCAGTACTTCATTTAAAAACATTGCCAGAGGGTGTGTGCGCTTCCCAGGGAGAGATAAAAAGAGAGACTGAAATCGCCCTCCAATGAAGTGTGGCCACGCTGCAGTCACTTCTTCATCTGCCTACCCTGTTGGGATTTTGGGCACGTGTGCATACGAGCCTGGCGTGTTTTTCAAGTTATCAGAGACAGGATTCAAACCGCACAGTCAGCCATGTGGGATCCAGCTCCCTTAACCACCAGGCCATGAGTAGTTTATTTTAATGGATCAGTTTTATTCTCTTGTATGGACCACATTTTATTTCTTTTTCAATAAGCCAATGGTCTTTTTTATGATGATAATAAAATAAAAAAAAAAATAAGCCAATGGTATTTGGAGTTGTTTTCAAGCCACTGTTATAAATAGTGCTGCTCCAAATACCCGGGTCACAGTCTGTGTGAGAACATGCGTTTTCAGAGGTAACTACTTCTAAAGTTTCAGTTCTATCCTTCTGGAGTATTTTCTTTGTGAATGTGCACATGTGTTTGTACAGAAATGTCTATTTTTACAAATGTGGGATCATACTATACACATTGTTGTGTAACCTGCTTCCTCCACTTGCCAGCTTCTTAGTGGAGGTTTATTTCATGTTTTTTTTCTCTCTCTCTAAGAGTGAGTTTTTGCTATAGGGCACGTGTGCTTACTGGAGAGACAGAGAGACAGAAAGCAAGAAATCACCCCCTCAGAGGGAATGGCCACACTGCAGTCCCCTCTCCTCCATTCTTCTCTTGGGATTCTGGGCATGCATGAACACACGCTTGCATGAATTTTAAACTGCCAGGTCTGGGACTTGAACCACAGTTGACTACATGGGAGTTCAGTGATGAACCATTACACCATCTGCTGGTCCCTCATGTTTTCTCTTATTGTAACCCATGTACCTCTGCCGCAGAGTGCCTTCAATGACCCAGCTCGTCGTCTCTTCACTTTGCAGGTCCCCGTCACCGTTCAGTCCATCGCCATTCGATCGCTCAGTAAAACGCTAACCCGACTGGAAGATGCTGCGGTACTGCAGCCGGCCCTGGTCAGTGCTGGCCATGTTGGAGTCTGCGTCAACGTCGTTCTTGAGGTACTGCCCAATTTGGCCTTGAAAGCTCCATCTGTTTGTGACAGACTCAAGCTGTATGACCTGCAGGGGTACCTGGACAACCTCCAGAGGGGGCTTGGGCCCCCTGCATAGTGTCGCTTTTCTTGGCTTGGCCTCCTGCTTGCCTTTATGTTGTCTCACCAGAGGATACTTCTTTACTTGTGTCCACAAACCTGTGACTTGCAAGAGCACATGGGAATCTTGTTACTGTGATTGTTTTTACACATCTCTTCTGCAGAGAGGGGCTAGCTCCATTCTGCTGAAACCAGCAGATTTGGAACTGATGTAATTGGGCACAGAGAGGCTCCGATGACCCTCTCTGTGGGGTGTGACACTGAGGGAACGCTTCTCATGGTCTGATTGGTCGGCAGAAAAAAGCTTCAACAAGCGGAGAAATGGAAAAAGATTTACTGACTCGGATATTTTGTCCGAGTTACTCAGACTGTTACGGAAACATAGCAGGGACAGCTGTATTTGGGGTATGTTTTGTTTTGTTCAGGCCAAGTACAGCCTCACGTATACAGAAGCAGGTGCAATAACAAAAGCCGATCTCGCTCTCCTTCTGGGCACAGTGAGCAGTACGGTGTTGCCACTGCAGCAAAAGTTTGAAATTCGTTTTATTCAGGTAAGTTTGAGCAATTTTGAACAAGTATTTAATTGCCAAGTTAAAGAAATTATAACTTCTTAGTGGAAAAAAAATGCCTCAATTTAGAAGTATCACCACGCTAACCCTTTGTGCTGAACAAAGGCTTGCACGTCGCACGTGGAGCCTGTATGGAAACCAAGCTCAGTCGTGTACCTTTCCATTTGGGAATAAGCGTCCCTTCCATGCTTGCTTGTTCCGTTACAGCATGATGTACTCCCACACCCGGCAGACATATTTATAGTGCTGAGTAGGGGGAGAAAGCCTTATATTGGTTGGTGATTCCAAACTTTATTATGAAAAGCATTTCATTTTCTCTCTGCCATTTATTTCCTTATCACAATGAGAACTGGGGGCATTCATTTCTGCATTGTCTTTCAGCAAAATACAAAGCCAGTTCCTCTCAGTGGAAACCCTGGTTATGTTGTGGGACTCCCGCTAGCCGCTGGATTCCAGCCTCAGAAGGGATATCCTTTTTGGCTCTGTGGAGAGGGCTGATCACCCTGTCCATGTGCACGGGCCATGCTTCTCGATGGCCAAGGGCCTGTGGTGCTTATGGGATAGAGGGAGAGTCCCAGCCAGAGAACCCTGGGGCTCTTTGGTGGATGGTGGGTCTAGCTGCACTGCAAGTGGGGCTGAGTGGAGACAGTTGGTGAAACAGCGTGTCCTAGGAAAATATGTGTTTTGTTTAAAAAAACAAACAAAAAACCCCCCACAAACCTTAATACCAGAAAGTTGACATTAATTTCACATTTAAATACTCTTAAACAAACATAGTGATTTTGAAACTCTGAAATTAGTTTTAAAGGTCTAGTTCGAGGGCCAGCAGGTGGTGTGGCGATTAAGGCACGGGGTTTCCACCACATGGACCCAGTGGCTTTAAAATCACACTGAGCACATGTGCATGCATGCCCAAAGTTCCAAGAAGAGAATGGAGAAGGGATTAAGGCATGGTAACCCCCCGCCCCCCGCCGAGGGGGTGATTTCTCACTTTCCCTCTTTCTCTGCCTCTAGTGAGCACTCACAGCTCTGTGGCAAAACCACCACCAGGCATATATGCATACATAAAGGGCCAGTTTGAGGATTCTTCCCCTGAGGACATCATAATCAAGATAAACTTTTTTTTTCTTTCTCCTGAGAAACAGCTGTCCAAATCCCAGAGGCCAGGAGAAGGGTGTTTGGGGCTCACTCTTGTCTCATGTCACGCAGAGATGCCATCTTCCTACCTGAAAACCAGCCTGCTTTTGCACTGGTCGTCCCTTAACTGTCTGTGAATGTCCGGGATTATTCAGACCGTGAACAGACACGGGCAACTCACCATGCTGCGCAGCACGGCTGAGCAAGACTGCCTAGCAGCCGAGGGGGTCCGGACTCCAGTGCTGTTTGGTTACAACATGCAGTCTGGCTGTACACTGAGGTGAGAGGGCGGCTGCTTCTGTTTGAACTTGTTTCCGTTGATCAAAGAACAAAACATTCCCTTCTTCTCCATTGGAGTCAAACCTCTGCATCAGCAGATGGGATCACATGAAAGCGCCATGTAGTTCACTATTACTAATGAAGAGCAAAACCATCTTTCTTATCAAATAATGGCAGAGAAAAAAAAAACAATCTCAGGGCCTCGTATGTTTCATTTTCAGGTTGCAAAGCATTTGAGTTTACAGCAAAAATATTCCCTGTATTTCTGAATTTTAAAACACACAGCACAGCAAAACCAGTGAGAGAGTAAGCCTGAATGTGCTCTCTGGTTTTATCTTTTTGTCATCATATGTGTACACAACACAAATGTCACACAGCTCTGCAGGGCTTGTTAGGAAACCAGCAGTTCTTCCGCTCATTTGCCCCATCCCAGAGGCGACTGCTTTCAGCTCCTGTAGCTGGGTGTTTGGCAATCTACCCGTAAGTCTTTAAGCTGCATATAATGCAACTTTATGGCTCTTTGATTTTATGAATCTCTTATGGAGTCCCCACTATGGAAACCAAAGATCTGGCTCTTTCTCCATCATCCCCAACGCCGGCACTTCGTGCTTTCCTCATCTCCCCAGGGTGTTTTTACCATTACTTGGTTAGACCAACATTCACCACTTACATTGTTAGTTCTGTTCTCTTTAGACCAGCATCTCTTCAAGGGGGTTCCGTGGAATACATTTCTGCAGTTGTCAGCACGGGCAGATCTGCGGTCCAGATGTTTGGCAAACACCAAAGTTAAAGCCGTAATTCTTTCCTGTGGGACTTCCCAGCTTTATTTTATCAGTGTGTTTCAAGGAGGGGGTGGGGGCATATCAGACATGGACGCAGTATTCCCCCAGCTCTTGGCCATGGAGCCCTTGTACAGAGCTTTGATGGAACAGAGTTTGGGACCCACCTCTCTGTCCAAGATTTCATCAAGTTAAAGCCAGTGTATTCTCTTGTCAAATAGTCCCCCACTTGAAGAGTGAGAAAATAATGAAACTGGAAAGGCACGTGTACCATCAAGGCCTTTGAAAACTGCAGGTGGATGGACAGTGGCCTCATTCAGTTGCTCTCCTTTTCCTTCCCAAAGGCTGACCAGAGCTCTCCCGTGTCGGCTCATGGTGCAGAAGGCCAAGAGCCTGCTGAAGGGCCAGGGCTTCCCAGACTACGTGGCCCCTTTTGGAAATTCCCGGGCCCAGGACGTGCTGGACTGGGTGCCTGTCCACTTTGTCACTCAGTCATCCAGCGTGAAGGTAAAGGGGGAGGAGTTGAAGGCCCCCCATCAGTGGTCTCTCCCTCTTCTGCCTGGAGGCTGCTGGGGAAGCCACCGTGAAGCTCTGCGTGGGAGTGTGGTAGCAGATTGGCCTGAGTCTTGAATACTGATTTTGCTTCTTGTTAGCAGTGTGCTCTTTGGCCAATGTTATGGGTTTGAGACCTTGGCTCCTCATCTGTGATGGGAACAGCAGCCACATACCAACCTCACAAGGCTGTTGGGATTACATGAGGTGACATTCGTTTAGTCCTTGCCATGGTGCCTAGTGTCACTCAAACTGGGAACTGCCATTTCACCGTCCCGTCTCCATTGTTGTTATTGCTGCATTACATGAGTCCTCTCGAGGCAGCTTGTGATATGGTAGACAGGTGTTAGGCCTGTCTCACAGACTTCGCGCCATCCCCACAGCTGTCCCCTACTGCTCCCTGGCCTACAGAGGAAGCCCACACGTGAGCGCTTTCAGTTGCAAAGTTCCCCAGAGTTTAATGGAAGTCGACATCCTACAAATAGACTCCTGGTCACGTGACTCTCCTGCCCACCTTTTCCTTTTGTCTTCGCAGGCAGAGTGTGGGCCGTCCCCATCACAGTCACCGGAGGCGTGCTCTCCATCTCACCCTTTAATTGCCCAGCTTTTTCTTGTCACAGTTGCTGCAGGCCTTTCATTATCTGCTTAGGATATTTATAGCCTGGGTGGAGCGGGGCTGCGCTCTCGTCCCCTTCCCACCGAGGCCGGCAGACCCAGGACCGCTCAGCTTGGCTGTGCAGCTGCTAGGTCTTAGCTCAGCTCTGCCACCTCAGCAAACCAGGCCATCCGCTCCTGGTTTCCCGGTGAAGGGTGAAGACAGCCGGTTGTTCCTCCTACTCAGGGGGAAAGACAGGCTGGGAGGGGAGGCAACGATACCACACAGCAGCCCTGGGTGTGCTGCCCTGGCACACAGAGGGCCTGGAGCAGAACCCGGGGCAAACAGCCAAAAGCATCTGCTGAGCTCAAGCTCCCCCAGCTCCTAACATCAGGATCCTGCCAAGAACGTGCAGCCTGCGGGTTTCCAAAAGGCAGTTCCAGGCTAAGGAATCCCATAGTGCTCTATGACAGGCACCAAATTTAACAGGTCTGCTAGCTTTCCAGGCCCTCAAGAGACATTTTATTTTTAATTAGGAAAAAATTCAAACGTATGTAAAGAAGGAGAGTACAACAGAATCCCCATCTACCCATCACGCAGCTCCAGCAGTTAGAGTTTGCCAACTGAGGAGATCCCAAAGGCAGGAAAAAGGCTGGAGGGCCCACTTGCCCCTTGTTCCCTCAGGGCTGACCAAACAGAGGTCCTGGGCAGGGGCCTCAGACCTCCTCCTGTAGCCCTGACCCGATCAGGACTGTGGCTGCGGTGCCAGTCCACTCGGGGCCCATGGGTGTGTCACTGTCCTCGACCACATACCGACACTGCCCGGGTACTGCGTGCCACACCTTAGCTGCTGGCTGACGTCAGAATAGAGAAAGCACCTGACCTTCCTGTCGGGCTTTCTGACGTGATGGACAAGCAGTGGCGAGTCTGTTACCCGCCACCCGAAGCTTCCCTGGTGCTCACAGGTCTGGAGCAGCTTAGAGAAAACGCACATACTTTTTAAAAGCTGCTTTTATCTGAACTCCCGCAGTCTAGTTGTTCTCCCGTTCAGAACATTTTGTAATCCTTGAAACACTATAATAAAAACTCCAAAGTGCAGATTAAGTCCGACTGAGGTTGTGTAACGCTGAGATTAATGGCATTTTCTCCTGCAGGATTCTTGCCAGCTCCCAGTGGCTTTGGTTATAGAAGTGAAGTGGACGAAGTTCGGATCCCTACTGAACCCTCAGGCCAAAGTAGTCAATGTGACCGCAACTCTCATTGCATCCTCCTTCCCTGAGGTAGGCCTGACTTCAGCTTAGAGGTGGAGGTTAGACACAAGTCCAGGCAAAACTCAGGTGTGACAGGTGAAATTTATTACTTGGTGAGAAAGACTGGAATTGTGAAACAATCTGGATTCTTAAAATAATTTAGCAGTCTTGATCTTTCACTTACAGAAAAAGCCTCCACTGACAGTGGCCTTATTCACATTAGCATTCTTAATTTAGTTATGATCTTCCAAATTCTTATGAAAGATGGATATGGATGTCTTAATTGGGACAATCTGGGTAAAACTGTCTCTCGTCCAGGACAAAGGCCCGCTAGCCCCTCCGTGTACCCATCAGACTCACGAAACGACCATGGTCCAGAGGGGAAGTGACAGCTGTGCCCATTAGGGTAACGTGGGGGCGGGGTGTGCCTGTCTGTTACAGACCAGCTCAGGAAGCGAGAGGACCATTGTTCTTTCCACTGCGGTTACTTTTGTGGACGTGTCTGCACCTGCAGTGGCAGGCTTCAGAGCTCGGCCAACCATCAACGCCAGGCTGCCCTCCGATTTCTTCTTCCCATTTGTTTGATGTAAGTCATTACTGAAGATCACGCCCCACCTCTGAGGGCCTCACCACTTGAACGGGGTGTGTGGGGTGGCTGCCGTCCTGGAGACCTCCCATGTGTCAGACTTCTGCCTGAGCCTCGCGGTTGCCAGCACACGCCCCTGTGCACTCTCCTCCTGGCTTGGTTTTCCTCCTTTTGGAGATTTTATTCTCTGTGGTTTGAACATGAGTGGGGAAACATCTGGCCTTGCTCATTTCCAGCAGTCTCAACACACAGGTTATGTGTGGAAACCAGACTGTCTCTGGGGAGACGGTAAGAGAGCAGACCTTGAAGTAGCATAGGCGTCTATCCAGCTTATTCATCCCTGCTTTAATGTGAGTGATTTTAAAATTCGTTATTCTCAGTTCAGGTTTTTTCTTTTTTAGGTCCTGTTGAAATGAGTACAAAAATAGCAAAATATTGTATAAAATTGTGCAAGTAGAGTACAGAGCCTCACGAGGGGATCCTCCCTCGAACATCACCTTAATTACAGTGGAGTCTTGAGTGTAACTGCCATTTCTGTTGCGGCACTGCAGCTTGTTGGCTCCCCAGCCAGGGGCTGGTAGGGGCTGCCAAAAGGAGGACGCGCCGGAGGAGGGCCGAGTTCATTTATACATTAATGGGACGGTAATTGAGAAAAATGTTGTCAGGTGGCAGAGATAGGTGGAGCCAGCTCAAAGCTGGATGATGTAGCTGGGTAACGCCGAGGGGGGCCCATCTCCTGGGAAGACTGGCCCTGGAGAAGCAGCTTAGAAAGGCTTGGAAATAAAAGACTTTTCTAGACTGTGCTGGTAGCACAAGTCATTGCTTCTTTCTTTCTTTCAGGATGCTCACCTGGAAGGATGTGCTGATATACCTTGTGAAATTCGAAATAGCAAGACCAAACGTTTCCCCACTCCTGTGTTCAAACCACAGAGAATAAAATTTCCAAGAGGAGAAAAACCAAGCCAGGAGGAGAATGGACAGGGGCATGAGATTAAATTTTATATACATTTTTATACACAAGAAAATTGTCCAGTTTTCTTCACTTTCCAGCAAGAGTAAAGCGTTCAACATCAGAACTACAAACAGTAGGTCTTCTGCAAGGCAGTGTCCACCGGAACGCCAGCTGGGCGGGAGTAGGGCAGAGGCACCCACAGCTCTCTGCGGAGGCCCCGGGGAAGCGTGGGCTCTGCTGTCTCAGCACAGGCCCGGTTGGCAGCATCTTCTCTCGGAGTACAGCTCTGAGCCCACATCTAGTTTATCTCACTGAGGAGCCCATGCTGTTTCAAAAGCTTGTTGAGTCTTTCGATCTCTTGTTCCTGTTGCAAAAGCAGACCAATACTGGATTTTAACTTCATGAGAGGGATGTGGCAGTCACTCAGTGAACCCTAGCACAGGGACACAGAAGAATGACAGCCACATCCTAACAGCTGAGGTGGGGCCCATGGGCAGTGGAGACAGGAGACACTCAGAGGAGGGGAACCTGGCCTAACTTGGGGGAGGCAGGCATGGCTGCAGGGAGGAGGTGACACTGCAGCTGAAAGGACAAGGGAGACTAAGCTAAGAGAATGATGCTGTGTGCCCAGGGCCCTGCAGAGCCTGAGAAGTGCCATGCTGAGTGGGCAGGGCCCTGTAGAGCCTGAGAAGTGCCATGCTGAGTGGGCAGGGCCCTGTGGAGCCTGAGAAGCCGCATGCTGTGTGCCCAGGGCCCTGCGGAGCCTGAGAAGCCCCATGCTGTGTGCCCAGGGCCCTGCAGAGCCTGAGAAGCACCCTGCTGAGCAGGCTTCACGCACACAGTATGTCGCTTACCTTCTCAGAGCAGCTGAACTCAAGATGTTGGATCTTGGCGGCCAACTGTATATTCATCTGCTTCAACCTCAGGAGCTGTTGTTCCGAGCGTGTCTTAACGGAGATGATTATTCCTGCAAAGGCATCAAGGGTCTCAGTGATATGGTTTCCAGGCTAACCATTCAGAAAAAAGGGTTAGATTCTTACAAACATGCGCAGTTGGCAGAGTGGTGACAGACAAGACTACTGGCGGTATCAGAACTAGATGCCTTCAGTATCTACTCAGATTTTTCATTTCTGAGCCGCTCAGGACCAATCACACAGTATTTCTCTGCAGCTCACAGTGGCTGAGAAATCCTTAAAACTAATCACAGATGAGATGAGTGCTAAACTCCTTTACAGGGCACCTGCGGCAGTGCACAAACGCCAGGGAAGCCCGGGGCCGGTCACACTCGCCTCCCCAGAAGCAGGAGTATCCGCAGCAGTAACAGGAAGGGCCAACGAAATGCTCTTGGCCTGCCCTCAGGCCAGGAAGAGCCCACAGGCCGGGCTGTTCCCACACTTGCAGCCCAAGCAGAGCTGATTTTTCCCGGCCAGGTCCTGCTAGAGCAGAGTGAACGCCCAGGGCAGGAGCCTGATGTCAGAGAACATGGCTCCCTCAGCCTCGAGACAGTGACCTGCGGCCTGTCGAGTTGGGGCCTAGTATGGAGATTCCCAAACCTGGCTGGACACCAGATGGCCTGGGAGTACTCAAAGTGAATACTGCCTGGGCTCCACTCAAGCCCTCGGCAGCAGCCTCTAGTTAAAGCTTCCAGCAGGTCCCCAACAGGTCCTTGAGCACCTCTGATGAGGTCACCGCCAGCTGAGCAGTTACCCAGTTGGGGTCACTGTGCCCACAGGAATCACAGCAGGGGCGGGGCTTCTCTGCACAGACCCCCCACACACCCCGAGGCATGTACCAGGGACCGGATTTTCACCCGTACTGTGATCAAGCACTACTTCTCCAAGTGCCAAGGCAGAGCCAGAGCCTATGGCATGTTAATAGATGTTATTTCCCAAAAAAGCGTCACGGTGGTTGATTTGGGAAACCACTCAAGTTCCCAGAGCTTTTCTCACACCGAGTCATGACCTTCTCATGGGGGAGCGTTTCTCAGCTCACCCACACCCCTTTGGGATGGTGCCCTCCCAAGGTGGGCTGGGATTTGGCAGAATCCTCTCCAGGAAACCCCAAATTAAAAATAGAGATGCTCTGGGGAAAAGTCAGGAAGGACTAATTGGGGATTAGTTGACCCTCTGTAAATATCTTTCAATAACCAAGAAAATAAGGCCTACAGGAGAAAGGCAGTCCCTTCCCGTGCATTTACTGGTCTGTCTGGCCGCAGGCAGTGGTGGCGGTGGTGCCGAATCGCAAGCTTCACTTGCCTCTGCACTTGGGGTAGAGGGGAGGGGCGGCCACAAAAGAAACCACGGGGTGTGAGCTCAGGCGCCCACCCAGGCCCCAGCCTCTGTCCTCTGCAGCCGTGGAGCACGGGAGACCTACCATTGATGATCCGGGCCACTCGCCACAGCCGGAGCAGAATCAACAGGCCCAGAGCCTCTAACTCGTGCTCCCGGAACAGGAGGACGATGTCGAGGATGAATGAAATCACCACCACAATGGCATCCAGGATCTCAAACTTGTGGTGAAAGAACTCCAGGCGGAAGACATGCAGTTTGAAGAAAATCTCCACCATGAAAAAGAACAAGATGGCAATGCTCATGAAGTGGAAGACCTGAGGGGACAAGGAGCCAGTCAGAGCGGGGCCGGGTCTCTGGTCACAAACTGGCTTCGTGTGCAACTGCCCAGTCGCCACACAGAGACTTTGTTCAATACAAACAGAACTACAGCACCAGTCACTGCTCTTCAGCTGGAAACAGACGTGACCACCAGACAGAGCCAATGGGGCGGCATCAGCATGAAATCCGCCCCCAGCGTTGGGTCCAGTTCCACCACGAGGAATCCATCCTGCACCCACGGGTCCCTTGGTGAGTACTGACACACACAGAGGTGGGCTGGGCTGCGAGCAGTGCTGTTCACAGGACAGTGCCAACACCACCAGAAGGTCCTTATCAACAAACAGTGCTGCCTCCAGCTGTGAAAGGCGCGCTGGGAGTGAGCGCTGAGGGGCACCAGGGCTCCCCGCACTTCATGTGCACAGGCGAATCCTCGCCACGGTGCCGGTGCCAGTGCCAGCTCTGGGGCCCAGGGAGAACAGAGCGAGCTAGGACTGCTTAGGCCAGAGAGCAAGGACGTGCTCAGGGACTCATGACGGCTGGGAGGGGCTCACGGTGACCAAACCCAGGGCAATATAAACATGGAAAAGAATGACTGAGGCTGACTGCGACACACAGAATTAGAAAGAACTCCCTAAGTCCGTGTGAGGCAGGCACACGCAAGTACACACCGTGGGAGAAAAGGCAGCTCTTCCTTACGGAAGATTATCAACTACTAGATGTGGAAGGAAAGAGAGTTGGAAGACCACCCTTCGCATTCCCCAGTGGATTCGCGGATTCAGGCAAGGATCCTCGATGGACGCCAGCTGTGGAAGGGGACCCTGGTCTGGTATCCGTGTATCGCTGCAGGTGATTTACAACTGTCCCTGACAGAGAAGGAGCAGACCCGTGCTACTGCCTAAACCAAGAGCCAGCTGAACACCGCTATGAGGGGACCCGGGCACAGATTTGCCTCCTAAAGATGCAGTATGAAGAACACAGCAAGGGCCAGCAGGTGGCATGGTAGTCAGGGTGCTGGACTCCTACATGGCCGATTGCAGTTCAAGTCCAGGACCTGGCGGCTTGCTTTCTCACTTTCCCTCTCTCTAGTCCAATTAAAATATTATGATAATAAAACAATTCTTTTAAAAAAGAAAAAGAACACAGCCCAGCAGTGAAGGCCTCTTGGTAATGGTGCTGGGACGTAACCTCGGGTGTGCAGGAAAGAGAGAAACAAGTAAACGACCTGGGAAATAATTAGACAAACCCAGAACAGGGACCTCTCATGAGGAGATTGGCTGGACTCTCCAGTCAGTGACATGAAAGTGAGAAAAGGTGCGAGGATTCTTCTAGATGACAAAGCCTGAGGAGGGGGTACCCTCGTTCCCCACAGCATAGCTGTTAAGCCCTGTGCATGGAAAGCTGGAGCCCACATGGCTGACTGCAGTTCGAGTCCTGGCTCCTGGGCACATGTGTGTGCCCCCTAAATCCTGATGGGATGAAGAAATGGTGTGAGGGCTTTAGTGTGAACATGCCACAAGTGTGCACACCCTCTGGCTGTAAGAGAAAAATGTATTTTAAAAAAAGGGAACCAGCAGTTAGCGTAATGGCTGTGTCGCTGGACTCCCACGTAGTCAACCGCGGTTCGCGTCCCGGACCCGGTGGCTTAAAACTCACGCCGGGCGCGTGTGCGTGCGTGCCCAAGATCCCGGGAGGAGAATGGAGGAGAAGGGATTGCGGCGTGACCATCCCCCCTGGGGAGTGATTTCTCGCCTTCTGTCTCTATGTCTCTGTCTGTCTGGCTGGCACGCGCGCCCGATCGAGAAAAAACATCTCGAGA